CAGTTTTATATGATTTTTTTTCTTGTTCGAGTTATGCGAATAATTAATATTCCTAAAAAGTTTTATTAAATGAGAGTGAAGAAAAGGTGTCCTTCTATAAAGTCTCCAATATCTTAGAAACTCGAGAGGGTGTGAGTGTGGGTGTGTAGATGTAATTTTTCTCCTTGATTGAACCCACACCCACACTTCAACGAATCGATGATCTGAAAATAATCATCTTGTTGTTACGTATCTGAGTTTGAGGGAAAACTAGGCATCTTAATTATTATAAATACAAGTATCTTTTCATGTCATGTGTATGTACTGAAAAAGTAATAATAGAATTTATATTGTTATAGGATTTACGATTGTTCACAGTTATTGCTAATAGTGTTCAAATTGAAGATGATAAATGGAAACGTCTTTCACGACAAATTGTCGATTTACTTCTTGCTCATTTACAATCTCAGGTTATTTTTGTTCAAATAGGATCAATCACTTTTGGATATTTATTCCACATAATTAACACTATTTGATGTTGTCTCATCAGTTGCATTACGATCAATTGGTCCATTTGTTATTGCTTTTCGAGCATTAGTAAATAGAAATGTTCGTTGTTTTTATTTATAAAATTTTTCTGTAGTTTACAATTTTTTAGAATGTCAATTGTCAATCTACAAATCGATAGTTAATCAATATAAATATAATACTTCGATGTCTTGTACAAAATTCAACTGAAGATGCTATATTAACACAATAGAATGACGTTTTATTATCAGTTAATGGAACATGAGATGAAACTTTAGTGCGTAAGTATTCGAAATGATTTTATTTATAATTTAAAAACTATTATTCTCGTTTTTGTTTTCAGAGCTCTTCTTCGTGTTTTACATGGCATAATATTATGAATTTTAACTAATACTCGACAATTATGTGGTCAAATCACTACAAAATTAGTTTCTCTTGCATCCGATTATCTTTATGTACATATCACCCATTAATTTGAAGATAAAACTTTCCTGCAATTCATTAATTACTAATGCCCTAGCGAAAAACATTTGACTTTAAAATTCCTATGCTTATATAAGATCTATAATTTTATTTTAGTTAAACAATTTCGAACAATTGTAAATGATTTTCATCAATTATGAATTCATGATGAAACTCTACATTGTCTTGAGACATTTTCATATTTAACTATTTTAAATGAATGTTTTAAATTATTATGATCATCATTTTATATCTCATTATTATTACAATGGATACATATTCTGAATATGCTTGATTATACACAAGAAGCATGCTGGTCACCGACATTAACACCATCATCATCAAGAATAAATTTATCTAATAAGTGGTCAATTACAATCTTATTGTGATTTAATATATCATCATGAATTATATGTTGAACATTTTACATCAATAACAACACATTATCAATTATTATTATTATTTTTTATTTGATGTTATATATCATACATCAGTTGCAAGTCATTTATTTTTTTTTGTGAAGGAATAGATTTAGATGAAAATGGTCTTATATTAGTTTTATTAATTGAACAATTTCTTCCATTACCATTAAATAAACAATTATGACCTAAATATATACCATAAATTTTATAAATATTATCAATAACAACATCAATTGATATTATTACAGAAGATTTTAATAATCTTAATTGTCATATGAATATAACAAGAAAAATTTATGCACAAATGCTTAAAAATATAACTTATAAAAAATGATTACCATTAATGATGTCACCGGTATATTTTAGTTTAATTTATCGAAATAAATAAATATATATGTATAATAAAAATTTTAAT